CCCAAGGGGAATGGCCACGCCGCAATCCCTTCTCCTCCATTCTCCTCTTGGGATCTTGGGCATGCATGCACATGTGCCCAGCATGAGTTTAAGCCACCGGGTCCAGGACTCAAACCGCGGTCGACTACATGGGAGTCCAGCAACATAGCTATAACTATAACTGCTGGTCCCTTAAGTTAAGGATCTTGAGCTGAGAGTATCCTGGGTTACCCAGGCTCCAAACTGGGGCTAAATCTAGTTCTCATAAGAAGTAGAAAAGGGGGAAATGCAGATAGAGAAGTGAGGACCATGTGTAGATGGAGCAATGCAGTGACAAGCCAAGGAGAGCTTGGAGTCCCCTCCCCGAGCTGGCAGTGGCAAATAAGGATTTGCCCCACACCTTTAGAGGGCTGTCTACCTGTGATCTTAGACTTCTGCCTCCAGAGCTCCAGGACCCCAGGACAAGGCCCCCTTGCAGCTCTGCTATGAGCTCTCAGAGCTGAGAGGCTTGTGGAGAGATGCATTAGAGCACAGCTTCTACTGTTTCTGTTACAGTCCTTGCTCGGAGCTGACCTCTGGCTCCCCACCGCTTCACATTCAGCCTGTGCCTTCTTGCCTGAGCTGCGGTTCACACACCAGCCAGCTGGGGCAGGCAGGGGTGGCTGCTAAAACCGTATGACAGTTCTTGCCTCCTTCCCTCCCTCCCTCCCTCCCTCCTACACTCCGGAATGTGAAATGAGACTTCTTGACTCAGGCAAGCTCCTTTCTTGGTTACGGAGACGTGACGTCAGCCATGGCAACGGCTCCAGCTCCTCTCTCCAGTGCCTCCCTCAGTCCCAGGAGCCAAGCAGTTGGCTTGCACCTTGTCCTTGTTTCTCCCTCCGGGGTAGGCCATGGGTGGCTGGCTGCCTGTAGGCAGGCCACTGCTGCTGTGGAGTACTTGGATTTGTTTGCTCCACGGTGGTTGGTCGTAGAATCCGTACATGAGGCCAGTTCCCTCCACGTGCACATCTTCATGTACTGACAAGATGCTCACACAGGCATTGAAAGTTGCTACAGTGGCTCTGGAACATTCTCTGAGGAATGAGACCTTGAAGCTCAAGCATAAAGACTCACCGTGATATATTTGTCTATGACTCTTAAATACCCACTCCTCGCTCCCATGTCTAGATTATTTCCTGTAGTTACTGTTTCTCTAAAGTGAAATCCTGAAACCACAGCCTCTGAGCTGCTTGCTGTGGATCTCAGG